AAAAGTGCAACAAAAGTACCCTTAATTTGGGTCAACTTATGGTGGGACGTTGGGCAGCGCACCGTCCAGCAAGTGGCCCCACTGAACTGAAGGATTAGCCGAAGTAGATCACGTAATTACTTGGGTCCTTTTCGTCCTTATATTCTCAGTTGTCGTTATTGAGTTAAAGCTGGAGAGGCTTCCGTTCGCGTAACTACATCTCTTGGTAATGCAAGCAGCTCATTTAGCTTGAGGTTGCCTTCATCACCAAACCACTGGTGTCTCAAGACAGTCATAATTTGGGCCTAAGTAAAACTGGTGAATTACTTAGATTCATATACAACTATAATTATTATGATTCCATGAAAGAATTCAGAAAACAAAAGATTTGCGTTGAACTAAATATTAAGCTGCATCACGTCCAGGTACAATGTGGATAATCATATTATAAAAAAATATGATTGGCATGGCGATATAAATAACATTAAAATCACAGAATCGTAAATAAAATGAAAAAGAATTTTATGGAGAAGTTAACCAGTTACGAATATGAAGCGGTTTCTGGTACTTTCAGGTGATATATGAACCATTTCTTCGTCAATTTCGTCGTTCTTGTATATCTTTTGCCTTCTATAATATGTAATGTATTGTATTTTATTGCAATTTAAATTTAAATTACCACATTTTCTTACAGCAGTCTCTCATTGTGTTGTCAGCACATCTCAAATTGGTTATAAGGATCCCACAAGACATAACTCCACTTATTATAACAGTTATTGCTTTATTAAAAATGGTTTCTGAATAATTATATTCAGTTTTATATGATAGTTTTATAATGTACCTATAACATAATTCGAAGAAATATTTTGAATACATGATTTATCAAGCTATTTGTTTCAAAATTCAATATATTGAGGTGGCTTATTACTATATTGCGGTCATATGAAGATATCTGACATCGTAGCTTATATGGATGTTCAGTAATACGAAATAAAGGACAAACTTTTATGTGGATAGTTGATTTCTATTAAACTTTTATAAGTATATTTCTGAATATCAAACTTTTTTATACAGAAGAATTTAATAAGGAAGTAACGGTTTGTACAGTCAAACTTCAATAACTCAAAGTACTATTTTGCAAAGATGATGTTCGGCTTATGGAGACTTCAAGTTAAAGAATCTTTTTGTAATTTTGTCTTTTTGTAACTTTGAAGTAGACGTTTTCCTACTTACTGCTTTAATGAATAGCAACAGGAAAATCTTAGGATCCAGGTTTCCTGAAAACGGGTCATATCATTAGGTTCGGTTGGAGACAGCAACAATATGTTTTCATGTAAATTGATAACCTCAGCCTTTTTTCTTGATTCCACAAGAGAAAGAGTAATATCTACTATAATACATTTGTTTGTTGTTAAGTCTGTGTCAGTTTTTTACCTTCTGCTTAACTCATATAACATTTCTGTTACTACTCATTTGATGATATATGAACTTTCTGAGATGTCTTTCATTCTGTCACTATTCAAGCATTCTTTACTTTGCCTTCCACAGATTTCTAAATAAAAAAGCAAAACTTTAAGAAAATCAATTCTAAAGATAAAAAACAATTCTTAGAACACCCTTGCTTTCTTCACCGGTTAAAATTAATAGGTTTACACTTTCCCTTCCACTTAAGAAGTGTAAAATAAACATATGTAAAAGACAATTTATTTCGTTCAACATATGAAACGGGAAATAAATAAAGCAGAGTAGCTTTTGCTTAATCGTAAATTGAGATTTTTCTTAATTTTATTTTTAAATTATATCCCAACCCCAAGTAAAGTTTCAGTATAAAGGCACTCTTCCCAGGGTAAGCAGGTGCATTTCACTACAAAATAAGCCGCAACTTGTTACGAAATTCATTTTAGTCAGACATTAATCTCAAAAAGTTTCAGGAAAAAATTTCGAATTTTACAAAAAAGTAGATACAATCTTTTGAAAAATAGGCAGAATGGGAAGAAATAGAAAGTGTTGAGAATATTTGTTCGCCTGTGTTTTGGATTCATTTTACCAAATGTTTAAATGAATCGCTTTTGTGTAAAGGAAACTTAAGAAACGGCAAAGTGAAATAAATTCCATAGCAAAGTGGCTTTAATAGTAGCAAGAAGGAAAGAAGAGAAGACATAATATTAAATGAGACTGCTAGTCCTAGGATCTAAAGGAAAATGTACATTTAATATATTTTTAGGAAGAGAACGAAAAAGGATTTGGAAAACTACATCCTAATGAAAAAATTAAGCTGCAACTTAAGCTACGAAATTACTGCATAAAAAATAAATGAAACAGATTGCTTTTGAATACAAATTAGTTTTCTCTTTTAAATGAGAAAAAATGTAGATAATAAAAGTCCTTAACACAATTGCATTTTTAAGTGAATGAATTTAGTTGTTATCTGGCATAATTTAAAGTGGGAGCAATACTGCCATAGAATTGTAATGGGTGAGAGCACTTCACTTCCAGAATTTACTAATTAATATACTAATTTTTTTTTCGATTCTATAATATTTTTATTATATTTAAAAAATTTAAATAATTTAATGTAATGAAATAAATGAATTATTAGATTTCTCTAACGGAATATGTAAATGAATTATCAGTATATTACAAATATTAGCAAAGTGTCTGTTCCTATATGTCTATTTACCCGTTAGCATCTGCTA